TAGACCGGAATGAATAAACAAAATCACTTCATAAAATAATCCGAGTACTCGCAAATCTTAGAATCTCAAAGAAATTTAGCTACTAAACATATTCTCAATACTCAAAATAAATAAATCCATGAGTTCAATGAAGAAGAAAAAGAGAAAAGAAAGAAGAACTATTGTTGTCGTTAGTTCCCGGATCTTCAATCTTGACTTCCTCGAATCCCTCGTGTGTTTCGTGCTTTCTCTAGGCCTCCAATGGTGTCCAAAGTCCCAGAACCGTGTTCCTTATGTTCCTTATATACTGTAGGGTAAATATGGCTTGAAAAGGGGACAAAATCGCGTAGGAATCCTATTTCCCGCTGGACTGTCTGCGCGTCACACGAGTCGTGTCACTAGCCACACGAGTCGTGTGACTTTCTTCGAATTTTTGCCCCGCTCCCAGACTCACACGGACAACCTACACGAGAGGTCACACGAGTCGTGTGACCCCACACGACTCGTGTCATGGGCCACACGACTCGTGTGGTTGACTGGTCGAAAAATGTGCATGTTTCATACATTTAATTTATTCGCACATATATGCTTTTCGACTTATTTATTTTTTCAGATAGATTTTGTTGCTTTGATATTTTTATGGTTTATTTTCAGCGCATTGGAGTATTTTGTTGGTGCGACGCATTGGACGGAAGTTGACGTATTAATTATAAGGCCTTCCCAACACTCTTCAATTTGGCACACGAGTGAATAAATTTGAAGCCCAAATTGCATGGTTTTAATTTCCTGGGAGTGTCACGCAACAGGGACAATTATTAGATATGGCCCATAATAATGAATTGAGTGGTTTTATATTTGCTAAAGATGTTGAGGTATACACGTGGCCAAAGGATTTTTATTATTACGGGAGATTCCTTATGGGCAGTGCACTCCACATTGGGGGATATTTATTTGCGTAGAGTATAAAAAGCCTGAAGTCATTATTTGTAGAGGGGACTTGGACGCACAACAGGAGGGAGCCGCCACACATACGGAAAAGAGAGAACAGAGCAGAGACGCGAGAAGAGGACAGACGGGAAATTCGACGGAAGCGGAGGGAAGCCGCACCCGCACACGAGGGAGATAATTAATCTCTCTCTTTTATCTTTTTATTTTTATTTAGCATGTTAGAGTAGTTTTTATTTCTAGTTCCGGGGAAGTTGAACCCTACGACTTGATGATGTTTGATTAATTTTCGTGGTTGATTATTAAGTTATCTTTTTTTGAATTGCTTGTGTTATTTTGAATAATTCACCATGATGTGTTGAGTTGAATTTAGATTGATCACCTAGATTAGGCTTTACATATCTACACCTGAATTAGGCCTTCAATCCGTAATTGTTGATGTTTTTAATTCGCAAGTGGTATCCGAAAGATGGTAACTACCGGGGATAACACGGCCTATTTAAGTGAACGAATGCGTCACTACTTAGTCTAGCCTATTTTTCTAATGTGTAAAGCGACTAATTGTATTAAATCTAAGAAGCGTTTTCTAGACTGTACAAGAAGTCAGGTTTAATCGTAGAGCGTCTCGCGGTTAGATTAAAAATAAGGAAAAATTCGGGTAACAGACCGTGTCGTTGCCTAGGGCTAGTAATTCCATAAGATAGCGAGATTTGATTCCAAAGTTGATTAGGCGAGTCAGTCGAGGGTGTAGATGGAACCGTGAACTAGAAATTTCTCTTATTTATTTTATTTTATTTTATTTTTATTTTCATTGTTTAGATTTTATTCTTATATAGATTAGTTATTAATCCAATCCCCCCTATTTACTGCTTTTTTAATTTCAATTAATACAAGAATATCACAATTTGATTCACACTCCCTTGGGTTCGACCCTTGCTCGCTGCTACTACTAGTTGGTAGAAGTAAGTTAAGGAAAAATATAAATATTAATTTTGCCGCGTTGCGACGCGCGGTCAGTGGTGAAGCCGTGCCAAAATTCTTCATGATCCCATTTTTCTCACCTCACACGACT